AATTCATCCTACTATATGTAGGAAATTTCTAAGAAATAATAGCTAGAATATTAAAACCGTTTCAAATAGATATAGCACACAAGCCAGTCAGCACAATCACTTCATTCAATATTGTGCAGACCGAAAGATCCAACGGATAAAGAAGATAAAATTAATACCACATACAAAATAAGTTGCAACAAACATTACATTGGTCAAAGTGGGTGTCCCCTTAGAATCTGAATCCAAGATCACAAATTAACTGTAAAAAGACGTGATATATATTCTTTCATATCAATGCATGTAGATAATTATGGACACCGATTTGATGATTGGGATAATATAGAGATTTTAGACAGAGGAAACACCAAAAGTGCCAGAGAATTTATAGAAGCCTGGTACTCAAGTGAATCAGCGATTAACAAACATATTACTACCAAATTTACCAGCTAATAAAAAGTAAATCACATGATAAGAAAGTTCAAATTCCAAGTCAATAAAAATGATTAATAGAGATATGAATCAGCTACAAGTCACGAAGATGGTTGTCAGGAGACACAATTATTTCATTCATGGAGAATTCAAATGGGTTCATATTTTACTCAAACGTGCACTGAAGATGTTGTCCAGAAGGACGACGAAAGCTTCGCAATTAATTCAACCAGCTAAGAGAACACAATTAATTCAAAATCATCCACCTGAGCTACAAATCTCTATTATTTCAATACTCTAGTCCACAGGAGATAAAATATTGAAGAACACATTAAGAGTGATCATGTTATATAGATGAATCGAAATGCTACGTCAGTAAAATACAAATATATTGCTGTAATTCTGTACTTAAAGTAATCAAACTTTATTGAACAGAAAAAAGGGAAGTACAGAAAGATATTGAGGTATAGAAGTTATGCGAAGATGACGTACATCACACCAGAAAGTTATTAATAAACAAATGATATATATATATATATATGTCATTTATTTGATACCAGACATATGAAGCATGACGTTTAGGTGAATGACGATGGAACTACTGGGTGAAAGGAAATCGACATTTACACTAAATAAAAGCCAATATAATCAATTAAGGTTAAGAAACGAGTTATCAAGGTAGAAAAAGAAATTCGTAAAACGATTAACTTTCATTATTCAAAGTTGTTAGCAGTTGATAATATGCCAACAAAATAAAAATTCATCCTTCTTATCCTACCGATGCATAAAAGAACATCGGCTTTCAAGCTTTAAGCTTCGAAGTTTTGGTAGCAGTGGTGTTGTTTCTATGAGGTGAGGTTGCTATCCTCACGCCCAACCTTCCCTATTTTCCGAGTTTACAACCAGCTAGTAAACTAACCGGGAGTCGAACCCGAGCTGTGTTAGTGACTGAAGCACTCATACACATTGCTTGATCGGTACTGAGTCCGGTAAAGAAGGAAGGTTGGGCATGAGGCTAACAACCCCACTCCACAAAAACAACACCGCTACTGGGACTTCAAAGATGGAACTAGAAACCTTATGTTCCAGTCGGAACGCAAAGAAATGAGAAAAAGTTTTATCCTGCTGCTTGGATGATCAATGCTTTGTTGTAAACAATCTGTATTATTCTATTGGACATCAAGTTGACACAATCAACTTCTCAAAAACTTCATATGTCTTCCTACTAACAAACTTAAGCGCTTGTTTTAGTAGACTACAGTGAAGCATAGTGCAATGATGTACAACGGTAATCACACTACAAGCTTGATACATTTATTCTTATCACCACTACACTTTATGGTATTGGAAATGAGTAAAAATGAACTTCAGAAATATTTCTATAGACTTAATTGGTCTCAAGTTAGACATTAGGAATTGACATCATTAGCAGAATCAAAGGAAACCAAGGAGTAATGGAAGGCTGTTTCGTCCTAGTATATGACTCTTCATCAGTACTTACACACACGGTCCCACTGGAGATCAAGCCCAGAGCCTTTAGGTTACAAGGCGAGCCAGCTAGTCATTCAGCCACTGGGTCGGAATCAGAAGTACCATGTATTCTAACTTCTGTCAATCAGTGATATATAGCGCCACTGGTGGACCCCACAGGTGACAATTTCTCACTTAAGGAATTCCATTATGATTGGAATATATATGTAGATGCGATTTAATTCCATTGTTCAATCGCTACATGATTGGTTCTAACTTGATTTTACTTGCTGAGAAGCATCAAATACTCCCTGATTTTTTACACGAAAATAGTGTGAAATAAACAGGCGCACATGAACAGGCGAATGGGGTACTGTAGGTGTGACACTATTATTACTATGTGAAAAAAAATAACCCCTTCACACTAACAGTAACAAAATAAAATTACAAAGTAATGGATAGCAAGACGGCTTTTAGACATTCAGTCTTGTGACACATCTGATCTCTTGATTGCATAATTCATAATAAATTTAGAGAAGTTACAATTTACGCAAAACACACTGACTTATTACAAACAGTTTAACGTTATTGTCTCAATGACGAAAACAATTTGTGTGTTCACTGACTTGAGAATGAATAGGAAGTATTACTTGGCAATTTAATAATAGAACACGATTTATACAAGCAGATACGTATTATTGGTAAATTCTCATTAGGTTTTACACTTATGTAATAAAAATTTCAGTCATAGACATTTGAAACAATGTGGATCAACAGAATCAAGGAGAATGTGAGTAGAATAATAATAACAAAAATTTTGCAACTAAAATTAAAGTATGAGCCTACAGCACAGTTTGATATCCGTAATGCAGTTAGCAGCACAAATAAAAATATTTACACTTATCCAGTGTCACCGAGATAACTATTCTAGGTTGGGGTCGAAGATCATGGAAGGGAAGGAGATTGAACAAACTTCTTTTAAACACAAAGATCGAACTGAAAATTCTTTTATGGCAACTGCTTCAGCTATACTTAACAATCGAAGGCGGAAGAACTTAGGGAATTCAGGTGACACCCTGTTTCGAATTGTATAGATGAAATTTGTATCAATCTTGTGATCCGCATCCACAAAGTGGGCAAATATAGAACTCCTCACTGACTTTAAGACTTCTTTACCTAACCACATTGGACAATGCTCAGGAAAGCGACGGTGGGGTTTCCGAGTCGTTCTACTTACTTAAGTGTCTCCATCTGCCTGCCAATGTTATAATATGGAGGAAGTGGGTTTGCATGATTAACACACTGAAGTTTGGATATCTACTTATACCAATACACTGTAGCTTCGTATTATCTTAGTTTGTGTTTAAATTTTACGGATCTTAAAATAAGTAAGCAAGAATTATTTACACAAAGGTAATACGATTCAGTAATTATTAGCGAAGTGATGTAAGAAACAAGGAACACTCTTGAAGTAATTTGGTGGTGACCAGCAGTTGAATCCAGGATGTGCATTTCGTCCCCTTTGGGACTTGTCATCTGGATGTACCCGCATTCCTCAGTGAGTTCAAATTGAAGTAGGTAAAGAACACTCATGTTTGTTTCTCATTAGACGTATTGAAAGTAGTTCAGAAAATTAAGTCATATTTTGAAACTCATCCTTGTCAATCAAAAAGATAGGGTTCATATTGAAATTCACTTATGTTCATGGTATCTACATCGATGAACTATCCTTCGATCGTTAAAGGATGATCTACAAGATTCAGTTTTTTTTAAAAAAAGGACGAAGAAAGAACCTGACATAATCTTTCTACTTAACATAAGTCCAGCAAACTCGTGGAGATGTGCTTCACTATTCTAAGCCCTTGGTTTCGAACTCCACCCTACCTACCTAGGTTTGGGCATCCAGGTAATTTTATCATTAGCCATCTCACACAACAGATGAGGCTCACTGTCAGTTGCACAGAAGTGTAGTAGTTCAAGTTGCCACAGTGTATATAGGGAAAGAAGAACTATAATTACCGGAAATGTGCAGGAGAAAGAATAGTAACACGGGAAAACATTAGGATTTAACCAGACACGGGAGATAGCGAAGATGAAATGCATCTGCACTGCTAACAACAATTTCGAGCTATATCATTAATAGTTTTCAACCATTGGATCTTCGCATCTCGAGGACTCCAACCAGGCAGTCTACGCCTCTCTAAGTGGCTTGCTGAAACCAACTGTCAAAGACATTGTGGATTAACTTCAGTTTTTGATTTGACCACCTCTAACTCTTTTCTAACCCAATACGATATTAGCTAACACTGCTTGTCAAGGAAGGAATGAGTAACACATTTCCTAGCCATCTCAATCAATGTAGCTTCACAACCTCGTCGATTGACTTTCCCTCCGTATCTCACACTTGGCGCCTAACCTCCATATTACTCACCCTATTATACCATGTAACATGGGAGACAGAATGCAGATAAATATGGTCATTTATAGCTAACCTTTTCATGTCTTCTACTTTCAATGGCCACGTCTCATAGTTATAAAGGAGGGACGAGGCGAACTACTGAGCAGTATACACGTCCTTTGATCGATAGCCAGACATTTTATCTGCGCTGAGATTTCGTCAAAAATCAGCCCATTAGGGCTGATACGACTTTCCAAATAAGTGAAATGATCAACACGCTCCATTACTTCACTCCCTATCCTTGAGCTTGGAGTCTATGTAGTCTAATCCTGCAGCATTATCTTTAATAGAAGCGAATTGCAAGCCAAGACTATTCCCTGGCAACAAGTCAGTCTCTAAGTCACTAAAGTCATTTAGGGTCCATTCTACTGATATATCTATGATGAAATCAAACGAAATTGGGCATCCCTGAAGGACACCACAACCAACCCTTTTCCTTGGAATCTAATTACATAAATGATTGATGAGCATAACGCTAATTATGGGGAAAAAGTCGTCCCATATTCAAATGTGTGTGTGTTCACTGTAACCAACTAACTACTTCTATCTGCCTTAAAAATTAATGCAGTAACGAACTCTCATGGCACCTAACTTACAATGATACTATTTTTATTGTAAAACCAAAAGAACTCAGAAATAAGTCTTTAAAAAAGATAGTTACCTTTTCACCATAGGAATTTTTTTCTTCCAGTTATTAAAAGTCCCGCTAATATATATCTCTTTACCGCCACCATTCCATCGAAAAACAGTTGGAAGTTTTAATTCATCTACCTTTTTAGCTGGTAGAGTTTTTGCACGATAATGTCTTGGGATTGCATTTTCAGCAGCCTGCCGATGATCAATACCGTATATAATTCGTTCATCTGCAGAACACGATAGGCCAGCAGCAGTAGTAGACGGTCGTTGTGAATAGCCAACTGAAGAATACTTTTCCTCCTCCTCATCATCATCATCACCTTCATTGTCATTAATCGCTGTCGTTGACATTACTATTCCTCGAGGATGTAATAAATGAGGCTTTATCTTGCCAGCGTTATCTGCAACAGTTTGACCAATAGGTTCACGAAGACTTGCTGCACGTAACATTGAGGTAGCTTCATCAATAGAAATATCATCTTTATCATCGACAGTTGTTGACATGATTTCATCCAGATAATCAGCTGGAGCAGATTGGGATAAATCCTAAAGAGGAAAGTGTCCAGTTGAACAAAGAGAGAGAGAGAGTACTAACCATTATTATTTTTATCAATAAAGAAAACCGATCATCATAAAGAAAGTGAACAATATTGAGATTTGTGTGAAACAAGCAACTAGATTCTTCTGACTGTCTGATGATAGATTAATCACAGATTTCAAGTATCACAAGTGTACAACTGAATCGGCTGATTACTTTTGTGAGAATGAGAAAAACGTGTATTTGGTATCAACGACAACCGATCACGCACACATACAGAAAAAAATATCCAATCGATTGTGGACAGAATAAATAAATTAAAGTATTATGTAAAAAATTCTTTCCAATTGTTAATTAGGTCAGTATTCAAAAAAACAAAAAAAGGATTAATTCGCTAAACCATTGGACAATTTGATTTTTGATTAGTTCAAGGTTGCTTCAAGTGAACGGATGTATTTTTTTCAATAACAGAAACAAAGTTACTCACAGTGTGACATAATCTTGACAAGAGTGTATTATAATACATAGTGAGAAATTTAGAGGGTGAGATAAGAGAGTAGTTCTGTGTGTGTAAGAGACCAAGGGGTTGAGAAAAGGTATCTATAGGCATAAGATTAAAGTAGTGTATAAAGTAGACATATATTCAAGTTAACAACAGAGGGGTGTAGTGTGTTATTATTATTATTATTATTTCCTTTAGTTCCTATAGGAACATAGGGCTTCAGCCATGCGTCTCCATTGCGTTCGATTCTCTGCTAGAGTTTTCACCTGGCTCCAGGTCTGCCCACATGCTTTCATCTCCTCTTCACATGTGTTGAAGAAATATATATATATTGCCTAAGTGTTAAATTTAGCACCAGTGAGTTCAGGGATGGAATGTTCGTCAGCTACAGACAGATGGTCCGGGCTCGATCCCTAACTGACGCTCTTTAAAACTTCACTTAGTCGGCAGCAAGCCTAGAAAAAAAGCATAGTTGGGAATTAGGCTAGCAAACCCACCCCGTTGTAAAAATAACACAATCGCTACTGAAACTTGAAGCCCTGTTTTCCACCTAGAAGGTAAAGGAGTGAAATTAGAATATTCTGAAAACCTGATTCTGTCAGATGTTTGTGACCCATAGGCTGCATTGAGATAAAAAGTAACTAATGTTATTGACTAGTTAATAACAACCCTATGTTACACTCGGAACACAAAGGAATGAAAAAACACCCTTCGAAGTATGATTATAAAAGAGGAAGAATGTGAGTATATACTACTACTGTTTACTAAGTACAACGACTGCATTACAAATTTAATATCTAAAGCAATGTACTTAAATTTAACTCACTGACAAGCTATGCATATTTCGCCGTTTCACAGGAGGAATTGTAACACTGACGCCTGGTGGTGTACCAATCGAGCTTCTACCATCAGCATCTCCAGAAAAACGTCTTTTGTGATGAGCTGGTGTATTGCCCATAGTTAAGATGCCTGACAGTTAACCACAAATGACTCTAAAAAACTGTAGAAGGAAAACCAATAGTAGAAATTACATAACAATTACACGATATAATATAACAGCTCAGGTCAACAAAGTAAAGTAGGTTAACCAAACATTTCGTGTGAGTGAAACACACCTCTCTTCTTAGTGTCACTCGCGCCAATAGAAGAGTAATGAAATATTTTGGTGAAGAATCTGAAAACAGATAGCGAAACTAAGAGAAACAAAAGCACTGTCATCCAATCAACACTGATAATAATTAGTAAGATCATTGGAATTTTTATACGTTTCATAATGTGTAAGTCTCTTGTTGATACAGTTGTCCTATTAAGCATGATAATAAGCGGCACGGGTGAGGATTTTAAAGACTGGATCGGGAAAGCAAGAGCGACATTCATTAGTGTGAAATAAGTTCGGGAATCTGTTTCACTCAACATAAGGAATAAGATTCGGATTTTCAACACCAATGTCAAATCAGTACTTCCTCATGGTCCAGAGATTTGACTAACAACTCACGAAGAACACTTCCAAGAGGTTGCTGCAGACTTTCATCAATAACTGCCCTCGCTCTCTGCTGAAGATCAGATGTCCAGAAAGGATACGGAGCAAGAAAACCTGTCACCCAACCAACCTAGAACTCGCAGTTAAACAAATGTGAAGATGAAAATGGGGATGGATATGACAAAAACTGAGATCGCTGAATGACACTGCGCACCAGGCCCTCAAGTGAAACCTGAATAGGAAGCGGCGAAACAAGCGTCCAAAAGTGATATGGAGAACATTGTGTGGAGGGGAAGTAAAAGCTTATGGGCAACCATGGGGCCAAATTAAACAAGCACTGAAAAGTACAGGACGAAATGGAGATATGCTGCTAAAGCTCTGTATTTTACCCGAAACCTAAGGAAATAATAAGTCATCGTATTCCAACGACAGAAATATATCGGGTTGAGAAATGAATGATCATTTAACAATTACCAACTAATTTACTCCTATAACCAGACACTGTCAATAATGTTCCACTTAAGAGGCTGCAGTAAAGTGAATTAAAGAAGTCTGCCTGCAGTCATTTTAGTATTTACAGTGAAAACGAAACTGATCACCGGAAGATAACTGATTTTAAGCAGTCAATAAGTAATCTCTCCTAATCTCATACATTGCTTACCTATGTACTGACAACCCACAACCGCCGATGCCAGAATAAAGAGACTGTTCATAGATGAAGAAGCATATAAGAAGACAATATATTGAATTGTTTATGGAATTCAGCGCTTACTTACTCATATAATAGCACCATTAAGGTTAAAATCGTCATCAGGTTGAGACTTTAATGGATGGAGTATGACAAACAAACACTAAAAACGATTGCACTTCCTTTTACGCCAAATAATGCAAAAAAGAATTATAATGATGTCATGCTGTTGTCATTTTACGTAACCAACGTGAATGGTTACACAGTAAAGTATTAGAAAGCCGCCTTATATTAATAACTTTTAAATAAATGAGTCATTATGTGTCCAGAACTACTTTTCCTTTTGCGAAAGGAAAATTGTTACGATATATATACAAAAAGTCTTTTCAGTCATGATTTTCTGGTTTAAAAAGTTACAGTATCAGAAAGACAGTACATTATTATATGAACAAACTTGAATGTCAAGTCGTGGTTTCATAGGCGGGTCCAAACTGTGTGAACTGCCATTCTAAGATAAAAATGTGAACCTTGCTAATAATTAGAATCTCACTTCTATTCGTAAATTTGAAAATAAACGTGATACAGACTGTGTCGCTTTATGCTCCTCCACACCACGGTAATCACGTAATACAATGCAGAAAAGAGGAATGAAATAGTTCGGGGGCAACACAATGTAACGGGAAAGGATGCTTATCACAAACATTTAGGCAGGGTTTATTAACACATTGCATAAGGTAGTACAGTAATAAGGAAATTACACCATCATCACCAATGATTTTTATTTTGGGTCATTTGATGGAGCATCCAGTAAGTGAGTCGCATGATCCATGTCACAACAACAAAGGAGTTGTGATCCACTGACAGATGCTAGTCAAACACAACAATTATTTTTTAGCGCACAGTAAGATCCCGTACATCACCCACATGTTCATGTTTTCAAAGTAGTTACAAGGTTAGTAAGTGATGAACCATAAGGAAATCACTGAGACATTTGTAACCTACGTTCAAGCCCCTTAAGCACGTGGTTTAAGACATCACAAAATGAAAGACAATTCCTGCTTTTCTTCTGAAATACTACACTTCCACTATAATTCGTCTTCACAAGAGTATAATTAGTACAGTTTTACAGTCAAGGGATGACCACTTCTAGCCTGTTTTAACTACTTCTCAGAATGTCAGTAAATTTAATATATAGGGAAGAAACACCGTTATGTTCTGCTACCAAGTCACTATATATTCAGTTAACCTCAATTCAAATATGGGATGATATTGCAGGACCAACCACTGTTTAAAGATGACGTGATAAATGATTAGAAATGCAGACGACTTCACATATTCCGGAAGTCGAATGAGGATACTGACGAAATTAGACACAAATGTAAACCCCAAGTCAGGTCATTTCTCGGGTAGACATGATGTCCGTCCACTCAACAAAACGGATTACTACTGAGGAACATGTCATCCTGTCTTATTTCACAGCCCCAAAACACCTGCCAAAAGTGAAACATAAAGGTTTACAAGCATTTGACCACCGTCCATCTTACGTGAAGCAACTTCACACGCAATTATAAAACAGGCGAGTTTCGTATGAGAGGCAAGTTAGGGAATGAAGTTGAGAATAATCCCGAACTACAATAAATAGAATAAGTGCCACATATGCCAAGCCACTGGTTTCCCTCGCTAGATATGCTAGCTGAAGTATGGTTAGGTAAGAAGAATATTATTTATAATCACATACGCATGGCATCAGTTCATGATATCATAGACTTCTGACCTGAGCTACACATGAAAGTATGCTGCCTGGTCGGGCCGTCAAGATACTGACTCAATCTTCGAACACTGGTGTAATGAACAGAAACCACCCACAATGGATCATACTAATTCAAACGTCTTCATCGAAATTCTGAACATATTCACTAATTACTTAATTGTTCCATGGCGCGCACCTCTATTGTAAGGCCATTATACTGGTCAATCATTCAGTCAGTGAAGTAAATACGTACTTATCTACAAAAATGTTTTGTGTACGTGAAGATAATATCCTATCGCAATGACTAGTAGCCTACACTTCAGCAGCAGACGATCATTTTGTACAGTACATTCGGAAAGCAGTTCAAAAATCTACTGATGAACATCATGAATAATCGGTTAGTATTAGACGACATTAATTACACAGAGAACATCAGGTTAAAGCAAAACTAAATCACCAATCAGTGTAATAACTCAAGAACTTAGTAAAACCTAATTCCTACACCAAGAACTTTAATTTCCGTTGAAGTTAACTTTACCATAGAGTTGCATAAGCTGAGATAAGTGAAGCGGAGATTGAATTCCTGTCTTAATGTTTGGCAGTCCTAAGCAGAGAATGAAGTCATATACAAAAAAGTCAGACCAATTACTATCCAAATTGTTTACTACAGCACGATGGTGATACTTAAACAACGAATGCTAGTTCGCAATACAAACGGGCTAAAACAATTTCGTAGGGAATATTTATACAGCCCAATGAAACCACTGAAAAAATCACCATATATCCTGAATGAATAAGAGATATGACGAAGGTTTCTCTTATTCAGATTTCAAAAAGACACTTTTACTACAAACTGACCACTCAACCTTCAAAGTATGTCAGACTCTGTGATACTAACATGCTCATAATTTACGAAAACATTTACCTTTCGTGCTAAATAAAGAAATTTAAATAGCGGCCGAATATTTTACTGGGGTATTTGATGGACAAAACAGTTAATGAGCCAGACAATATTTTGATGTATTCGCGATTTTCGGAAACTTATTGAAGGAAACAATATATTAAGGACCATGCTGCAGTGTTTAAATTAACAGTAATGCCGAAATGTTTTGTACACAAGATCTTACATTTTCTACGTTTTCGTTAGTGAATAGAAATGTCCTTATAAGGCTATTTCTGATTACGAAACAAATTCAGATTATTCTGATTTCGTTATT